GCCCAGGTGAGGGTTCAGTGTGCCCAGATGTGTTCCTAGGTGTACCTGGGTGTGTGTCCAGCTGTGTGCCCAGGTGTATCTATGTACAGGTGTGTGCCCAGGTGTGCCCAGGTGTGCTCACCAGGTCGAAGAGGCGTGGGCGTGCCTGTGTGCTGATGTGCAGCAGGGGCCGGTGTGGGGTGGGTTTGGGGTGGGTTTGGGGTGGGTTTGGGTACAGGTGTGTGCCCAGGTGTGTGCCCAGGTGTGTGCCCAGGTGCTCACCAGGTCGAAGAGGCGCGGGCACGCCTGCGTGCCGATATGCAGCAGGGGCTGGTGTGGGGTGGGTTTGGGGTGGGTTTGGGTACAGGTGAGTGCCCAGGTGTGTGCCAGCCATGCCCAGGTGAGTGCCCTGGTGTGTGCCAGCCGTGCCCAGGTGTGCCCAGGTGTGCTCACCAGGTCGAAGAGGCGCGGGCGCGTCTGTGTGCCGATGTGCAGCAGGGGCCGGTGTGGGGTGGGTTTGGGGTGGGTTTGGGGTACAGGTGAGTGCCCAGGTGAGTGCCAGCCGTGCCCAGGTGTGCCCAGGTGTGTGCCCAGGTGTGCCCAGGTGTGCTCACCAGGTCGAAGAGGCGCGGGTGCGCCTGTGTGCTGATGTGCAGCAGGGGCCAGTGTGGGGTGGGTTTGGGGTGGGTTTGGGGTGGGTTTGGGTACAGGTGAGTGCCCAGGTGTGTGCCAGCCGTGCCCAGGTGTGTGCCCAGCCGTGCCCAGGTGCTCACCAGGTCGAAGAGGCGCGGGCACGCCTGCGTGCCGATGTGCAGCAGGTGCTGGTGTGGGGTGGGTTTGGGGTGGGTTTGGGTACAGGTGTGTGCCCAGGTGTGTGCCCAGGTGTGCCCAGGTGCTCACCAGGTCGAAGAGGCGCGGGCGCGCCTGCGTGCCGATGTGCAGCAGGTGCCGGTGTGGGGTGGGTTTGGGGTGGGTTTGGGGTACAGGTGAGTGCCCAGGTGTGTGCCAGCCGTGCCCAGGTGTGCCCAGGTGCTCACCAGGTCGAAGAGGCGCGGGCGCGCCTGCGTGCCGATGTGCAGCAGGTGGCGGAAGCCGCGGGTCACGGCCAGCGCGGCGCGCTCCCCGCGCCGCTGCAGCAGCGCGTTGGTGGCCACCGTGGTGCCCATGCGGATCCACTGGATCCCGGCGGCGTCCAGGGGCTGCTCCCGCGGCAGCGGCACCCCCAGCTCCTGCGGGACCCCAAAACTGAGCCCCGGCACCCCAAAACTGAGCCCCGGGACCTCAAAATTCACCGGGGACCCCAAAACTGAGCCCCGGGACCCCAGACCCGCAGCGGCACCCCCAGCTCCTGCGGGACCCCCCCAAAATTCACCGGGGACCCCAAAACTGAGCCCCGGGACCCCAAAACTGAGCCCAGGGACCCCAGACCCGCAGCGGCACCCCCAGCTCCTGTGGGACCCCAAAATTCACCGGGGACCCCAAAACTGAGCCCCAGGACCTCAAATTCACCCGGGACCCCAGACCCATGGCGGCACCCGCAGCTCCTGGGGGGGGGACCCCAAAACTGAGCCCCGGGACCCCAAAATTCACCTGGGGACCCCAAAACTGAGCCTTGGGACCCCAAATTCACCCGGGACCCCAGACCCACAGCGGCACCCGCAGCTACTGGGGGGGACCCCAAATCTGAGCCCCGGGACCCCAGACCCATTTGGGGACCCCCAGAGCCATTTTGGAACCCCAGAGCTACAGCAGGACCCCAGACCCATTTGGGGACCCCCAGACCCATTTGGGTCCCCCAGACTCATTTGGGGACCCCAGACTCATTTGGGGACCCCAGACCCATTTGGGCCCCCCAGACCCATCTGGGGACCCCCCGCACGGGCTGGGGCAGGGGGTCCAGGCAGGCCCAGGGCTGGGGGGCTTAGGGGGGCCGGGAGGGGTCTGGGGGTTCCCCTTGGGGGTCCCGGGATTCCCCACGGGGGTCCCTGTGACATTTGAGGGGGGTCCCCGTGGGGTCCTTTGGGGGTTCCCGGTGGTCCCGGGGAGTTCCTCAGGGGGGTCCCTGTGGTCCCGGGGATCCCAGCAGGGCACTCGGGGGGTCCCGGGGGTCCCGGTGACCTCGGGCAGGTCCCGTGGTCCCCCCGCCGTGCCCCGGGGGTCCCGGGGGTCCCGGGGGTCCCAGCAGGACACTCAGGGGGGTCCCGGGGGTCCCGCCGTGTCCCCGCCGTGTCCCGGGGGTCCCAGCAGGGCACTCGGGGGGTCCCGGGGGTCCCGGTGACCTCGGGCAGGTCCCGTGGTCCCCCCGCCGTGCCCCGGGGGTCCCGGGGGTCCCAGCAGGACACTCAGGGGGGTCCCGGGGGTCCCGCCGTGTCCCCGCCGTGTCCCGGGGGTCCCG